TTTATTTTCAAACTTGTATGTAGCACACGTGCCCCAATTAGTAATTGAATGACATTCCTTTCCTCCATAAAGATATAAAAATATGATCTGTTTACTCCTGAAAGATTTTAAAATGGGACCTGTGTGGAAAAGCAGAGGTTTTACACTTGAACTTAAACTATCAAAAGAGATCTATTGAAATGGTTTTAAAAAGTTCAAGGGTCAAATTGAAATAACTAAAAGTTTAAAACAATCCAAAATTTAGAACAGACATTAATCATTAAGAGATTCAAAATAATTACAAAGTTAAAGGTACAATGTGAAAAACATATTATTAAAGAGACAATCTGAAAAAAGTCATGGTTAAGAGAGAGACCAACCTCGTGTGTTTGGACTTCTAGGCCTATCATGTCCCATCTTGTGTATTTACTAAATGTTCATTTGACAAAAGTGCATAGGCTTTCCACCTTGTTTTTTTCAAAAGATGTCTAATTATTTTCAGTGTGGTTTCATATTGGTTTGAGATTTTTTATGCGGCATGTGAAGTAAAATATCTTTTGAAATATTCTTAGATACTTGTTTGTCATTCTACATAAATTGTGAAGGAAAATCAGATGTCTCAGTTGTCTATTTGCATCGCCGAAAAGCTTGCTACTTTACCATCTACACCCTATAAACCTTACCTGTTCAGAATAAACGATGCACTACGTAGAGAGAACAGTGAAGCATACGAACCAGAAATAGTAGCAATTGGTCCTTATCACCGCGGCAAAGTTAAGCTACAAATGATGGAAGAACACAAACTATTGTACCTGCAAGAGTTGCTTAAACGGAGAAATGAGTTGAGTGTGGATATGTATGTCATAGCCATGCAAGAATTGGAACAAAAAGCTAGAAAGTGTTATGCTGAACCCATTAAAATGAACAGGGATGAGTTTGTGGAAATGATGCTACTTGATGGGTCCTTTATAATCGAGTTATTTCGCAAGTTCTCTTGTGAAGAACAGGAACAGATAGATGACCCTATTTTTCAAGCAAGTGTCATTTGGTTGAATATACGCCGTGATCTTTTGTTATTTGAGAATCAACTTCCATTCTTTGTCCTCTCCAAGTTATTTGACATGAGCAAAGATTCAAACCAAGGAGGCCCACAAGAGAATATTTTAGTCTTAGCTCTCAAATTTTTACTTCAAGCCATTCCAGATATCTCGTATTTCCAAATGCCTGAAACTCCAGAGATCAATGACAATCATCTTCTGAGCCTTGTACATGCTATCTGGTGTTCTAGATTTGCTACAATGGTGCCTTCTCGGATTGATGCAAACCAAGAAAGGGGATGGAGTTTTATAAAATGTACAACAGGGCTTCGAGAATCTGGGATTAAATTCGTGAAGGCTACAGATAGTTTTCGTTGTTTGATATAAAGTTCACAAATGGAATCGTGAAAATTCCCAGACTGAAAATTTTTGATCGTACTGAGTGCCTCTTCAGAAATATGGTTGCATACGAGCAATACAAAGGAAAAACTAAGCCAGCTTATGTGACTGACTACGTGATTTTTATAGATCGCCTCATCAACTCCCCAATGGATGTCAAAATACTTGATGAGTGTGGAGTTATTGATAACTGGTTAGGGAATGATAAAGCAGTTTCTTTCATGGTTAACAAAATGTCCAATCAAGTCGGTCTAAATCCTAATATGTTTAGTTATGCGGAAGTTTTCAATGACATTAACGAGCATTGTGGACGTACTTGGCATACATGGATGGCCAATTTAAACCACAATTATTTCAACAACCCATGGTCTAGCATTTCGGTCATTGGTGCTTTTGTGTTGCTGGTACTCACCGGGATACAAACTATATGCTCTATCTTACAAATCTAGTGTTATGTCCAATTTGATTTACACGCCCACCCCTCTGTTTGTAATAGAATGTATAAAGTTGTAATTATAATTCAGTCAGCTTGTTGTTTTACAAATGTTGAGTAGAATTCATGATCAATTTGAATGTTTTTTCTAAGCCATTGTATGGAGCAAACTTCCTGGTTGGTTTCTATTGAGTGGTAGACTAAGAAGATAAAGGGAAAAATTACACCTTGATCCTCTCAACTATGACCCTGGTCTCATTTTGTCCCTAAATAATTGAGTTTCTAATATTGTTTTCTCAACTACATGACTTGGTTTTTCATTATCCCAAAATCAAACGATCGTCAAGTTTTGAAAAAAAAAATGCTCACGTGTGTAGTACAATATACATTTTCAATGTCTAAAATACAGTTGGAGGTGTAATGTGCATATTGTGACAATTGAAAGGGCAAAGTGAGACCAATAATCTTAGTTGACGTGCAATGTAAGAAAAAGTGAAAGTTTAAAGCACAATGTAAAATAAGGGACATAGTAATGAGAGTATAATATGTGTTTATAGAAGGAGAAAGGCTACTATACCTACGGCGATACTGTACCAAAAATTACAACATTTTAAGGTTAAATTATAATTTTTTTGAGGTGAAAGATACAATTTTAAAAGGTATAATCAAATTATAGAAAGTTAGAATTGATACCGAGTTTATGATTGATCATGAGAGTCATTGATCGATTATTGTCTTCCCTCGAAAAGTTGTAACTTCTCCTTTCAAAATTTTAACTTTACAACAAAAAGTGATAGATGACAGTAGAATACTGATTTTTTTTTTAGTACAGTAGACTTTCCCTTGAAGGTGAATATAAGAAAAAAATAGGTGTTTTTTACTACATTGCATGAGACGATTCAGTGGGCCCAAAATAATGTAGTGTCTAACAAACATGGATCTTGATGCTTTAGATTTATGTTAGATTTGATCATGTTTAATAGTACCATTTTTAATATACTAGTTATTGTACACGTGCATATAGTTAAGAAATGTAGAAGTATGATCAATATGATTAGGATATCTTAATCCATTACGGTTAATATCAAAGAAGCATTTCTAGGGATTGACTTAAAGGTATTACAATGAATAGGGACTTTACAAAAGCTCTTAAGAGGAAATGTAGTGGGATGCATGACTAAAAAAATAAAAAAAAATGCACCCAGTTAGCTTTTGTACAATTTCACTCCATGACACAAACAATCAAGCCCCCAAAAAAATCTATGCCTAATTTGTGAGAAAATTTGAATCTTAATAAATTAAACTACAACAGGATGTGAAGTTCCCTAGCAAAAAAGTAGAATGGTCAACAATCAATTTGAGGACCACCACGAATATCAGATAAGCAAGAATGTTCTTATATCGCCAATTTATACTTGTACAACAACCATGGAATTGAAATGGTCAAGGTTGGACAACAAAATTAATAAATAAAAAACAATGCATGTTTCATGCTTTATTTGGAACACCATTATAGCCTCAAATCCCAAAAATCACGTTCTGTACCTATGAGAGCATAAAAGGCACCAAGAAACTTTTGTTAAGTGGATCCATCTTTGCAGCAATTTTGGATGACTAAAATTGAGAGGAATAAATATGTGCAGAACAATGACTTGGGGCTGCTTTGATCTTATTGACAGCAAGCAACAATTTAATCATGCTTATAGCAATGAATGGAAGATGAATTTTTACCAAGATGAGTTACCAATCCAGATAAATTAGGAAGTGTAGGTATAAGGAAAATGGTTTTGTCACGAAAACTATATTCCGCACACCCTAACACAACCATATTAATCAAATAGAAAGAAATTTTGTTAAATCTGTACCTATTCAAACGGTTCTACCAATTTCGTAATGCACGAACACAAGATTGCCTTGAGAGAGACCTGCTAGATTTTTCACCTTGTATGTTCTGTGAAAGAAGATACAAGAACAATATGAAAAACGTAGCAGAGACAACACATAAGAACAACGTGTCAATCTTCTTGTGAGGAGCATATCGACAGATCTAGTGAATCACCTCTCCTTATTTTACATCTTAGAAGGCTTATGATTAGCAACTGGGGGCTCAACCTAGTCTAAATCGACAATACAACATTATAAAAAATTGTTGCTATATGAACCCAATGAATCAATTGAACTCAATTTATCAGAGAAATCACTTCAAAATGAACTCAATTCACCTCCAAAATTTAGATCCACTTCACCAAATTAGCCCCCGTGTGGAAAAAAAACTTTCACTTTCCCCATATCAACTCAACTAATAAAATATATTCAATTCGGTATTTATTAACACTATAAATATATGTATACATACATATGTGTGTGAATAATTAAGTAATAACAGTCCAACCATCCACATAACAGTCACAATTATAAATTGCATTAATATTGATTTTATAACTCTAAAAGGGTAATATTGACATTAGTTATTTGATTAAGATTATTATAGTCAATCAAAAGTTTTCCACTTTTGTTAATATTTTATAGTAGTATAAATATAGATATAGATATAGATAGACCATAATCATGGGTTTTTGTGGGTCCCATTGAAACTAGTAGGACCAACCGAACCATCGTAGAATGATTAAACTTGATAGATATTGACAAAAATTAACGGGTAACACAGAAGGAGATCAACTATGATTTAGTAATATCTTATATGGTTTGGTACCCACTTACTTATATATCAGATTCCAACTGGATGGCATCATATCATGGAGAAAATTAAAAACAATTGACAACCCATCAATTCACCCACTCGTTTCTAAATTAGCAGATTGAGTAACTCATTTATACTTAAATATTTGAAGGTATTATCAATCAAAGTAATTAAGATCGAGCATAAAAAAAAAAAAAGAAAGAAAGAAAAACCAAAGTAATTAATCATCGATTGGCTATACCCAGTGGCGGAGCCATAATATTAGAAAGTTGTGGCCATATTAAAATTAATACATTGCCCTCTTTAATTTTTTACCAATTGGCTGGCAAGGCTCTGTTGAGTTGTACTGAGTAAATGTTAGATGCTTTGGTTAATATACTGACCAAAAGCAATATTTCTGTTCTATTCAATACATTGCCCCTGCTTTTTAAAAACAATTATAGAGTTGGATTTGCCTCTTTTTTTTTGAAAAGTTAGAGGCCCATAACGAAATAAAACACTCTTAGATGCAAATGGCAAAGTGTTTCCAACCCACAAGCATTTTTCGCTCTTCTAAGTAATCAATTTCTCAACACGCTGGATGATGATTTCGACTAAGCTTCACAATAAAATGAATAATTATTTTGTTACAGACTCCTTAATTGTATGTCTTTGAATTAATATTTTTGAGAAATTTATTTTAAAACTAATAAGTACAAGCAATTTTTGGGAAGTGAAAGAATGTCATGTTCCACGAAAACATGGAAAAAGTTTGATGCATTGAAAAATTCTTCACATTTTCTAAGAACTTTTCAAAATGTTAAGAGCCTCACATTCATCGTAGACCTATTTGGAAGAAGAGGAGCTGTTAAGAATAGAAAGGGACAAAGGGTAGATGAAGTCAATAAGTCTGAAGATGCTAAAAACCAAGATGAATTTGACGAAGTCTCCATTTGCTATTCTTTTTTTGAGAAATTTTTGTTAATTCCACAAGCCTTGAAGGTCTCGCTTATGTTCGGAACACTTGGCTCGTTATCCAGAATGGATGGAATATGTCCGATACCCCCTAAGTGTAATTGTGAGTATAACAAGCAGAAACTCACAATTCAGATGCCATTGAAAAATTCTTCACATTTTCAATTATTTTCTGTTTTTTACCATCTTATTGTTCTTTTCTTTTCTTTTCTTTTTTTCTCAAGTTAATGTTGACTTTTCGTTTTAGGATTAATCAAGGTATACTTTATGGGTAACAGTTGTAAATGGTGCACCATGTACAGCGATAGAAAGAATACAACCTTGATACTGTAAGGTTGCAAAAAAGAAAACGATATAAAATGGTGAGAAAAAATTGTTTGCTGCATGATATTTATTTTTTTATTCTCATTAACTGAGAGAGAGAGAGAGAGAGAGAAGATAAGCACAACATTGCAACGTACGTGCAGTTATATTGGCTTTTATCTGTTGGGAATAAAAAGACTAACATATACCGACACAAAACATAAAGACTATGGCGATCCAAGTCCAAGAGCTAAGGGTGAAGCCAGGAATGAGGATGAAAAGGGAAAAAAATGAGTGCAAGAATGACAAAATGTTCTAAGATTTCAGACAGTAACATAATCATGTATTATAATGAAACACAATATTTTTAAAATTCTCTAAGATTTGTTATAATTGATTAATTCTCTAAGAATGACAATATTTTTAAAATACAATATTTCTCACTAATTTTCTACAATATTATTCTTTATATAGTTGCAAAATGTAGTTGAAATCATTCTCGATCTTATCGAGAAATTACATATTTGACATAGCATAAAATAATTTTGGGTTATAACATGTTGCTTTTGCATCTAATCATGTTTTTTTAAGCATAGA